AAGACTATTAAAAATAAAGTCATCAATTTTTTAAATTGCGTAGTATATACTAGGGCTGGGCGATATGGCAAAAAATCTTGATTTTATTTCCTGCTTTGCATGATTTCGATTTTAAATCGTTTTTCATTAAAGTCACCAAAGACAGACTTTGCCCTTAATAATATATGTTGATGTTTCCGCTCAATATTCAAGTTTCAAAACTATTTTTAATGTTTGTTTCCCCAATACGTATTATAAAAGTCTTGTACAGACTGTGCTGATATTGCAACTATAATTCATGTTGCTGGAACTCTCACAATATCCTTCATTCGATTTCACAATTTTCACTTTTTTATCAAATTCAATTAATTGCCTATATTTGATTTATTGCCCAGCCCTAGTATATTCTACAATCATCTTCACCCTATTGCCACAAAACTAACTTTACTCATCTTAACATGAACTTGTAATGAACAGGTGCTGGCCCTTAAAGACCAAACTAGTCTTGTCTTTAGCAGCAGAGAGAAATTATAACAACAACACAATAATGGATCTTCTATTGATATCCCGCTCTGTCCTGGGTCTCTGTGGGATCAAGGCAGCATCTCATCAGTCTGTGTCTGCTGGACATGTCAATACAAGTCTGATATTTGTACTTGGGAAAATGTGAAAGAAATTATGAAAATCAACAGATCCATTTTAGCCAAGGCTGTAATGCCATTGAAGCACAGCCTTATGACCGATACAAAGTCTGCAACACTGACTTTTCTCATTTCTAAATCAGAACCTAATTGTTGGTATATTCTATTTCTCAGTCTTTGTAGAACGTGGCTGTGCAGCGGGTTTTGTTTCCTGTGTTTTAGATGCTCTCAAGGATACACGGTTACACCTACAGAGCTGAAATTTATATCACTGTGATTGCAAAGACTAAATGCAAAAAGGGAGCAAAAGGAAGGCTGTTACACTTATCACTTGATACTATCTACCTAATTTGGCGTAACCTAAGCTGATGATTTTTTCTAATATCTAATACAATATACAGCAGGTAAGAGCAAGTACCTATGTCTATACCAGTGAAAAATCATCAATAAATGAATACACAACCTCAATAAAAGAGAATACTTTTCCCCAAATGTTTGAATGATGCTCTATTGGAAAGATAATAAATTATAGTTTGTTATTATAATGTGAGAATAACACGATGAAAGCTCCTTGAATAGTTATAAATGTAGCACAAAATGTGTTTATCTGTGAAATGTGCAAGCTCCTCACAAAGCAAATATGTCACATCTTTAGCCCTCTCCAGGCTTCCGTTTCTGCTTATTTATTTGGTTTTCACCCTTGAAGACATACACACAAAAGTCTCCCTTTGCAATCAGCAGTTTTTGCCAAATTATATTTTCATTCCATTGTACTTTTTGTTAATATAATGGATACCTCAAAACTGTTCCTCCTGCAACAAGCGACCTCGGCCTCTGGTTCCATGGCAAATAATGTCTTAGCTTCCTGTGCTTTTGACGATGTCTCAGGACCACACGCTCAACCTACAGACCTGAATTTAAAGTGATAGTCTGGAACGCTAAATAAATTTAAAAAATTTAAGAATCGTATTAAAATGACCTCCTGGCCTTAAATGTTGATATAAAATAAGTCATTTTATGAATTCTAATATTACGGGTATGTCCCGCCTTCCCTTCTCTCAGCTATAGCTCAAAATCCACAATGCCGTCCACTTTAACCAATCAAGTGATGCCACGGGCTGTCAATCATCGCGCTTATGCTTAAAGCTGCGCGCATGCTCAGTTGTTTGTTTTCACGGAGCCTCCGAATCAAGCCTTCATTAGGCTCTGGAACAACATAAAAACTGAACAAAGAATTTTGAACATCCGTCCATTTATATACTGAACCTATATCCATAATCAGATCCTCTGCAGATGTGTCCTATAATGTTCAATTA